TCAGACACTTTGCATTTGGGGAAGCGAAGAAATCAGCCAGGAGCTTGTGCAAGCCTGCATAGCCCAATCACTGACCCACGGTTGCGAATGCTACGGTGGTGTCGTCCATCTCCAAAACGGCGAGGAAGAATTGCAAACGCTTTGGCTACTACGTATGCTCCTACTTACACACAGTTGCGACGTCACAGCACATATACCGTCCAGTGTGGCCTCAACCCATGATGCATCCCGACAAGCTCGGACATGCTTGGGCAGGTATTTATTGGCGTCTCCCCCCCCCCCCTTCGCCATGGCGAGACCAATTGGCCGCCATGGGCCAGACAAACGTTGCTCGTGACGGGAATTCTGTACCCCCACGCGGGGTCCTCACGACCGTGCTTCCATGCAAACACCGTCCGTATTCGCTGAGTCGCGAGAGTTTGCGACCTTAACGCGAGCCCAACAAACAGAGCACTCCGGTGAGTCAACATGCCAATCCTGTATGGCAAACCTTCCTCAGTTCTCTTTGCTATTACACTCGGAATCTCTGCGGAGCGAAGCCAGCGGCAATGGCCACCAGCCATCTAGCATCTAGGATTTCCTGCCAACATTACCGTAACCCGACCCGACAAATTCGAAGGAATGTTCAATACACCGAGACTACGTCGGCCGAGACCGCACATACGTCAACCCCTGATGCCCCAGAGTATGTTCTGTCTGCTGCAATACATCATCCGCTGCTGGCCTTGGCCCCCGTTGCTAACATGCCCCTCCTCGCAAGTTTTCCAAGTACCCGCGAGAGACAAGCTTGAGTCCCGACTAGCGCCCTTCCTGACCCCCGAGCAGCAAGAGCTGTGGCTCCCGGAGCTGCTGAGATGTGCCGGTCGAAAGCGTTCGAGCCGCTCGCTCCTCGACGAGATCCAGAACTCGGCGCTCGACCAGCACATTGCCGTCTGTTTCCTCCCCGAGAGGATCTCCGATGAGTGCCGCTACCGAGTGGAAAAGGGCATCTTCGCCGCCTTCTTCCCGAGTATAAAGCAGGGCGAGGAGGCTTGGCGTCGATTGGACGAGAGTGACAAGAGAGGGCGATGATTACACACCACCTCCTGGGTTTATGTCTAGAGCTCTACGTCTGTCAGTTGGGGAGTATGGCCACAGTATAGCCTGGAGTTATGCTGGAGGGAGAGCATCTTCGATTATAACAACGCTGCGTGCCAGATATGACCTAGAGCCGCTGGCTTAGGGGTGGGAAAGCTATAATGACTTAGGCAGGGAATGTAGGATCACTAAATCTATTTGAACTATCTTGTTAGTGCGTGAAACCTTTTTGCAACACCCAGAATCCTCCTTGTAGCTATTTGGAGGAGAACTGGCTACACATCCCAGTCAATGCTACTGACAAGCAAGGTAACCATGGCTGTAGAGAAGGTAACTATAGCTATAGAGAAGGTGATTATGGCTATAGAGAAGGTGACCAAGCTGTAGAGAAGGTGACCAAGCTGTAGAGAAGGTGACCAAGCTGCAAAGAAGGTGACCAAGCTCTCGAGAAGGTGACCATAGCTGTAGACCTTCCAAGTCGGCCTGGAGTCTTGCTATCGCCATCACTTTGGCATAACATCAAAGCACGGCAGCTTCTGGTATAGCTTTTATTGATGATTGGGGGGTATATTCTCGGGTGTGGTGTTTGTAGTCGGCACAAGGAGACCGTGGACAGCGGCTGCTGTTACCGCAACTCCGGCTTTGTGGAGGGCCTAGTGCCGTTGATTGCTTTATATAGACAAAACCAATTTATATACTCTTATCGCTGGCTCGTCTTGCGTAGTAGATAGGCTTTAGAATCTCGCTCGAGGACTCCTCGTCGAACAGAGGGGGACGGGTAGGGCTAACAGGCACCTCTGGAGTTTGTCGCCGTCGCGAGCCGGCTCGGGCAGCGGTACAGTCAAGGTCGGAGGTCGATCGAGAGAACATGCCATGGCACCTATAGGTAGTATTGGAGAGTTAGCTTTATCGATCCAGCTTAGACGTGGGCAGAGATGCAAACTGAGGGACCAAGCCTTGAGAAGCCAATCTCGGCAGACGCTCGGTAGACGTGGGACTGATTCGTCGGATGGTTCAAATCAGCGAAGCCGAATATGCTGTCGCAATGACCTGCGCCTGTTGTGAATTCGATAGCGGTGGATGAAGAATCAAATCTTCGTGCCGTGTACTAGGTAGAGGCCGTTATGTGGAAGGGGCGGCGGGTTGTTGCGGAGCGCAGCGCACAGCGCACCAAGGTCAATGGGCTACGGGTTGATCAATACCGCCAGCAAGCGATGGTCTGGACGACCCTCCTAGACCCATTGATGGTTCTTGAAGTCTACTAACTGCCGAAAAATATATATGCCGGGAGGCTGTTGGGACGGTGGTCGATCTCGCCAGGCTGATTTGAAGAGTGTGGCCCAGAGTCTAATTGTAGAGCTCCATGCTGTGTAGGTGGATTGATCTGGATCGCCGAGCGTGCTACACACCGCAAATTTCTATGGACGAAATAGGCCGCTTTGACCGCTCGTCCTACGGCGATGTTGCTCTGCTCGTATTGTATTCACAGTATTGGGCAGGTGGATGGGCAGCCGATTAGAGAGGCGTTTGGCCTACCATCAAACTTGGGCAGCTCACTCTAGGTAGAGAAAGAAGAGCACGAAGACGCAAGTTCTGATACAATATATGCCATTTGTATTTATTATCTAAAAAATTAACAACGAACCTTTTTTTTACCGTGCCCAAGCCTTGCAGCAATCGAAGACCTTGCCCGCTGCTGGTGCAGCCCAATTGGCACCTACCCTAGCTTGCTCTTGATGAAGGCCAACGCCTGCGAGCCGTACTTGGTAACGTACTGCTGGTGCGAGTTTGCATCACTTCCCTTGCAGCAGTAGGGATCCGTCGAGTCGCAGTAGCTCTGGATGAGCGACGGGCTGTATGGAGAGCATGTGAAGCCTGACGGTCGCGCCGCGAACTGCCGAAGAGTTAGCATGATTCCACACAACGGGCACAGAGGAGCCAACTTACACCGCCCGCCTGGCACGTGCCGACATTGTACGAGAGCCCGACGTTGTAGTGAGGGTCCCCCATGAAGATGGCGGCCTTGACGGCCTTTAATGCGCTCCCGGACAGCGTGGCGCCGCCCTGCCCGCCGCACAGCGCGTTGTCGATGATCTGCCCGCCCTGCGAGTACCCGATGAGCACGATCTTGGTGTTTGGGCAATTCTTGTTCAGCGTCGTGACGGCCGACACCACCGCCGACGTGCCCTGCTGCACGGAGCTGTCGTAGCTGACGCTGCCGCAGCTGGACTGCCCGCCGCACGCTGGGTAGCTGATGGCCGCTGACTGCGAGCCCGAGTAGGCCTGCAGGACCATGTTGACGAGGCCCAGGGAGGTGCCGTAGCCTGCTGAGGCGGTGGTTTCCCGGGCGCCGAAGACGTAGACTCCTGGGCAGCTCTGCCTCTCGACGAGGCTGGTGTCGACTGGGTTGGCGGAGGCCAGGGCCGCGAGGATGGGGAGGATAGCGAAGGCTTTCATGATGATGGTGGAGCTACAGCCCAGTTGTCTGGTAATATCAATATAGGAGTCCTTTAGCAAATGTGGCAAATGATTCAATTCAAGCTCGACGAGAACAGAATCTTATATATGCGGTTTAGCCATGATCATCGTCAGTTCATCATCCTGAAACTCGGAGGGAGCTCCCGCCGCCCGAATTGGGCTCCTCCCCTGGTTCCTCCGCGACGTTTCAACTTTGCATCAGATAATTGTTCTAAAAACCAGCACCGATGGTCCAGTGGAAGCCTCTCAATCGATTGAAATCGCGATTGGGTGGCCTAGAAGCAGAGCGGCGAGGCCATGACATGATAGCATCGAGGAGAAGGGTTGATTGTTCCTGTTGTTTGGGCTGGCCTCCGGGTTTCTGTAACCCCTAAGATTTCTCTCCTCCACAACCCCTGCTAAGTCTCCATCGTTAGTGCATCAATGGATTTGGAAGGGCTAGAGCTGCCTCGTATCTGCTCTCAAGGAGCCCGTACGTGAGTTGTTTCAAGCCGTCGGCGACTTTTTGTGGTCCGCAGCGGCATGATTGATGCGTCCCGTCAATGCCACCGAAGATCGTGTGATCTAGAACTGACGTTACACAAGATACGCTATAGAGAGAGAGGGGACAGGTTTGGCTGACATGATCAATTGGTCAAGGATTCTTCAACTTTATTCAAAGGCTTTATGCTACATTCAAGGGACTTGGCAGAAGAACAACATTTCACTAAGCATGCAATTGGAATACTCCTTGTGATTTCAAAGAAACATGCATGTAATTATTACATCAGCTAATTTGGTTTAAATAACCGCATGCAAGATGGTTGGGAGGAAAAAAGAAAGGAAAGGCGTCGCATGTTCCATATTTCCCTCCTCGGTCAAGGCCCATCTCCAGTCTCGGAGTAACCACACTAAAAGCACAGTAATCGGACCTGACGGTGAGAGAAACCCATTGGCGACCCTGGAAAAACAAGTCTCAATGCAGTTTCTGGGCCCTTTGCTTCGACAAGTCTCTGTCGTGATTCCCTAGTGGCTCAAGATGCTCGATCCTCAGCCCCAAGGAATGGCTGCGGTGCTGACCAAGTGAAAAAATTCGCATGCAATGTCTGCAGAAATTATTAGAGCCGTGCCCCTGTAGCGTATGTTGCTTTCACAAAAGCAATTATGGTAACTCAGCTTACTTGAGCAAGACATCCTGGTGTAAAGCCCTGGATGTGGAGGAAATTGAGATTGGTGCACAATGATGAAGATGAGCTTCTTCTAGTACCTTTTGAGGCGTGACCGACTCTGTACTGAGGCTATTTAGTCTGACTTTCGATATGAATCGCGGCGGTCGGCACGGTGAGCTCGATCACGATGCGACGGGAAAGACCGAATGTCTTAGACTAAGGCTTCTGATCTAGTAGGTGCGTAGGTATTAGTACAATGATAAGCCTCCTTAGGGCTTAAGTTGAGAACTGACTGACTTAATCTTGAGCCTGAGCTGGACCAGAACATCCAGGAGGATCTTTGCAGGCAGAGTTGAACCCGCCAAGGAAACGGTATAGGATGTAGACCAGGACGCACACAACGATATAGTGTACAACCAACATGAGGACGAGAACTCTTGGCCGGTAGGTGATGACTCGAATGCTGGCAGTAGAGACAACTGAGGGGGCAGTAGATGGGGGGACGGAAATGTCAATGTCTTGGGCACCATCTAGAAGTGGAGTTGATTCGAGGGGCGCCCCCTCAGAGGGGCTGGGAGGAGGGCAAGAGGGCCCTGCGACCGGAGAGGATGGAGGGGTTTTTGGTGAGAGAGGGCGATTTGACGGGGAACCAGGTCGTGAAGCCATGTTTCCTGGGGTCACAAGATATGTTACGTTGATATTTGCTTGCGGAAAATGAAGTATTGATTGAATAATGGCGATAGTTACTAATGTTGTGGATAAGTGAAGTGCGTGAAGTGTGGGAAGTGTGGGAAGGTGCGAGGAAGAAAGTGAGGTGAAGTGAGGGAAGGAGCGAGGAAGGAGGTGAGGTGAGGTGAGGAGAGGGAAGGCGCGCCAACGTCGAGGCACGCGACCTCGCTACACATTGTGGACAGACGGGCACGTCTGCACACAGCATGGAAAGATGCACGAACCGTCTATACGAGACTACGCAAGGAGCCAATTCGGCTTTGGTGCCGTTTTCGATTTCTCAGCCAATAATTCAATTGTTGTAAGTCTACCTCGTGGTATGAGGGCGAAGCTACCACCATTTTACCTCGATCACTCACCCCCAACCAAATGCAAAGACGTATCAAAGACAACTTAACCTCTACCTTTAGTACTAATACCATGATGCAGACAATACTTTTGCTAACACAATTGCAGTTTCCCCTTGTCTCACCCGCCGTACCGAGAGCAAAGCAAGATTGTGCGCCATGTGCCCAATTTCGTTCAACCCCTGACCGACCCCTTCTTGTCGAACTCAACACCGCCGTTGATCCTCCACCACGAACATCAAGAAGCATTCCAGTTACTGCATTGAATGTACCGCAGTTTTGTCGTTCCTCTTTCTTGCAGCATCATATTCGGCCGTGTCTCCATTCCACCAGGCTTCCACCATGGGATCCACCTTGCCGGGGAAGTACTCGCGCCTGAGAGCGATACCGTGGCCGTAGGAAGTTTCGTAGGCCATGAGAGCGTGCATGATGTTTGAGCCAATAATGACCTCCTTTAGGTTCACACCCATATCCCATTCTTCCGGGTCCCGAGTCCACCAGCTGGAGATAAAGTTGTCCACAATACCGAGGATACCAACGATCCAAAGAACGGTTTGGTTGGTATCGAGCGTGATTACCATGTGGAGAAGAAACAGGGACATGATGAAGGGGAGAAGGTGAATTGCCAGCACTTTAGACGAAGCGGGACGATACGACTGAGCAAGATGATCTAGGCCCAGAACCACCTTCTCCTCGTTACTAGACTTGATCACCATCAGCTCCAAGGGGTGGGCTGTCGATCTCAGCGCGTAGGTGTGTCCAGAGTCTCCCAAAGGCGGGTTCTTCTCAGTGTTCCACTGGGAGAGGCGACCGATCCAACACGAAAGCAGAGTGCCGTACACAGTGATGGCCAGAACACCCCAGTCGTCTCGCATGAAGCCGAGGGTGAAAGAAGCCACAAACTGGGCAATGAGAAAGGACGCGCGGAAGATATCGTCCATGTAGACGGTGTAAATGCTTGGCGATTTGATTCTTTCCGACATGAAGACAAAAATGCGAAATTGATTCGGTGAGCTTCCCAATTGACGACGCATAGAGCGCATGCATGATTGTAGGTAATAACCTATGAGCCAGCTTTTATTGCCACTCGCGGTCGCAGTCTCGAGATTGAGCACGCGCACATGGCTTTCAGGTTTTGGCATTAGAGTGCGAGAGTAGAGCAGTCGGTATAGCGCGAAGGGGATGTACCCGAACCAGCCGAACGAGAAACATGCCGGAAAGTAGGCATGACCTGCCTTTCGCGCAAAGGACTTGTCGACAAACTGGCCACCAAAGAGAAAGCCGACTATGGCGAGGGCGAACGCGAGGTTGCCAAGCCAACCCGATGCAAGCTGCATTGCTGCTTGGGACTCGAAGCGAATTGACAACGTTTGAAGGATAAATGTGGCACACGATTCTAGAGGGAGAAGGAAAGCTGAAATGGCCACTGTCAAATTGTTGTTGATGGAGAGTGTTGGTGGGAAAGTTACGATACGGAGGGCAAAGTTGGCGCTTTTGTTGAGTTTCCCTGTCCCGACTCAGTTTTATTTCAACCCCGAAGAGTGCCGGGGAACTCAAAAACTGTCTGCTACCTTCTTATCACTTGTTCTTTCCAGCTCACCTGACCCGCATCACAATGAAGGAGCTGCTATGGCCGAAGACCGCTTCGTCAAACAAACTTTTGCGCACGTTACAATCCACTGGATGTGAGTATCAGTGAATAACGACCAGTGCGATCGACTACAAGTCACTCCGGCGGGCTGTGATTCAAGCTCCGACTACGACGGAGGGGCAGGAGACTCGCCGACTTTGGCTGCCGTCCCCAACCCCAACTTTCATTGAATCATGTCACGGTGGACACCAAGATAGGTAGGCAAACTGATCACTCGACATTACATTGACGCTGCCTAACCGAACTCTTAAACTTTGTCAACTGCGACCGCCCATTGATGGTAGAGATCGACGACCATATTCTGAACAAGTACGCAATCGACGAGTGCCACGCTGAGCATGTCAAGTTAAGTTCAAGCGGAGCTAGTATCGGGGGGAGCTTCGATTCGACGCTGCGTCTCGAGTGTACGCCTTCGCACCGTAGAACGCCTGGACAAAGCTGTTAGCTTTCTATCGCAATACTTCAATGACAAGCCCTCCACATGCAATCGAAGACCACCATGGCTCGTCAAGAACACAAGCTCGGCCAGTCTAATTCATGGATGGACTTACTAAGAGTTTAAAGGGCCGTACTGCCGACCTAGTCGTTTGATCGTGATGATCTCAGGGAAATCGTGACCTTCAGGGGCCCGGAGGACCTCGACGATTTCAGTTCTCGTATAGTTGCCGAACTCAATATCAAGGATCCGCACGGTCAATGTGACACTGCCAACCTTCGTTTCAACCACATCATTAACAGCGGGGTCTCTCCGGGTCGGCATTGTCGAGCCAGAAGCTGAGAATGACATGAGAGCTTCGATGAAAGTCAATACGTCCGTTCGAGAAGGCCGACGTCAGTCGTAATGGCAATCGGCGGGATATAATGGATAGAGTCTTGCCCAAGGCTCGGAGCAAAGAAGGGGAAACAGTGTTCTTGGGTAAGTCAACTTGCCTTTTACACGATGCGAAGAGGGGGAGCTACCTGGAAACTTGGGCATGCACTCCAAGGAATACTGTGGCTTGACGTCACCAGATGAGATGCTGAACGATGGCCCCAGTTCGTCGAGTTGCACAAGGAGGCTTGCATGATACCGAGGGAGGCTTGACGAATGCTGCGGGCCAATTGAATGGGCTCGCGTCTGACTGCAGCCGGTGGCCGACTGAAACAAATGAAGGATTTGGCATGCATCTCAGCCGAGATGCAATGTTGGCAGAGTACGTATAGGGCACCTGATCCTCGAGTATCATCTGCCATCTACCTTTTCCCACCCTTGGCCACTCGAGCAACACAGCGGTCCCGGCTAACGGAAGAGAGAGTGCGATAGACCTATGCCATACGTCGATACAGCTTCGAGCAGTGCGATGGACGGAAGGACACGAGTCTCGGATGAGCGTAGCATACCCCCGACCCGACCACCGCCTTGGCGCAAGAAACAAGAAGAAGCACGTAGAATATCGGCCGGCCGACAAAAGCAAAGAAACATGGGCGTGTCGATAGAGCCCCGACCACACGACCTGACCAAGTGATACAACCGATGAGGATGCGCCATTCTTCGTGACGGCCTCCGATGACGCTGCAATTTGCCGATGCAGGCAGATGCATCCAAATGCAAAGAGGCACACTCCCCAGCTCGGGGCCCGAAATGATTCGGCACGGGCGAGAATCAGCCCAAGGCAGCTCAATTCTACCGGCAATCACTGGTACGAAATGAGGCGAACTATAGTGAGAATCTTACAAGCGTTATTTCTGCACGTTCGTGGTCAATGAGGGCGGCAAGGCGGCGCATGGCAGTGACACGCAACTTAAATGAGGCTGCAGGAGATGTTCCCACGGGCTGAGACATCATCATGTCGCCTGTGACGATATACACCAGCTTGGCCATCGCACCACAGCGCTTGACGGGCAGCGTCCTCTTGATAGCACTTACACCTACGTATTCTAGATTAGACTCGGGGTAACCGAGGAGAAATCACAACAGCCGTACGCTGCATGCCCGTAATATCACAACGTGAATGCGGTGACCCACGTAAGCCTGCATCACAGTCACCTCCAATCTGGGGGGCGTGGAGAAGTCAGAAACCAGTGGTCCACCGTAGTCGACACTTCTTTCGCGAGTAGTGATAGTTCAAAGCTACTCGAGTTGATTGTTAACGTCACCAGTCTCAAGCCACCGTAGTCGACACTTCTCACGCGAGTGGTGATAGTTCACGGCTGTTCATGTTGATTGTAAATAATATTCGATATCGATGCCCATCTATTCATGATGTCTAGGTACCATAGGATTCCCTGTTCCCGATCTTGAAGCAAATGCGCCTATGCGCCGTGTGTCCCATCTAAAGCTTCCATGTTCTATCGCCGTGTAGCCGATTCAGTTTGCTCGTTACTCTTAGATACCGTTCTGCGCGCCCATCTCTATACTAGTATACAGCTTCCCCAAACCCCCCCTCGGAATCCCGCCATCATCTAAGCTTCGTAGAGGCCGACCTTGTTGCCGTTTCTACACGTCATCGCCAGGCCAGGCAGCTCCATCCATTCCCGGGGATCCTTCGACTCTAGCCGCTCAAACGTCTGCACGATCCGCGCGACCACGTAGTAGGTCTCGACGAGTGCGAATTGCTCTGTTTCATCCAGGGTTAGCATGGTGCCGTGGGCAACGCTCTTCATGGGATCTTCCAACTCACGGCCAATGCAAACTCGGGGGCCGCCACTGAAGGGGAGGAATCCCCAGCCAGGGCGAAGCCCGGCCCATCGCTCGGGAACGAATTCCTCCACCCTGTCGCCGAAGATGGCGGGGTCGCGGTGCATGGAGAAGACATTGTACAGGACCACGGCGCCCTTGCGGAGGAAAAGGGGTGATTTGCCGTCAGAACCGCCGCCACGGGGGAGAGTCGTGTCGCGTGTGGCTTCTCGGCCGTTCGAGGGGATAACGGGATGCAGTCGAAGGGCTGGGTAGTGATTAGAACCTCGTGCACGTAGGGATAACGTAGTGGATGGGGGAAACAGCGCTTACATTCATTCACGCACCAGCGCAGATACTCGATGTCTCGCAGGTCGCTGAAGGTTGGGTTCTCGTACGCCACTTTGGAAAGCACTTCTGACCGTAATCTAGCATAGGTCTCAGGGTTCTTCGCAAGCACAAAGAACAAGTTGCTCAGCAGACTGGCAGTCGTGTCTCGGCTTGCCAATAGGAAGTGCAACAATTGATCACGCAGGCTCTGCCGGTCGGTAACCGCGCCGGCAATCTCTTGGAAGGCACTCTGCTCGTCTGTCGTTGGAAGAGTGCAGTCTTGCCTCTCGATGCACTCCTCGATATACTCGCCCATGTACTTGAACACGCGTTTCTTTGCCCTGGTCGCCGCCAAGTTGAGCCGGAAGAATCTCAGGGGCCCGTACGACATCTTCTTGATGGCCTCTTCGGAGCAGAGCATGTAGTCGTCAAAGAATTGCTGCTCCTTCTCGCGCTTGCGGCTGGGATCTAGCATGTTGCTAGAGTAGCCCATGAGGAATTCGGTAGCTATATCCATGGTGAGTTCGAAGAAGAGTGGCTGGAGATCCACCTCCTCGCCCTGTCGTGGGATGTGTGTTAAGAACTGCTGTACATGGTGCTCGATAATAGAAGGAAGGCGGTCCATCTTGTGCTTCGTCAGGGATGGTCGCAGAACCGCACGGGCATGTGACCACAAGTCTCCGTCCAGGATAAAGATGCCGCTCCCTAGGAGCTCACCCATGACGGACACGCGAGAAGATGGGAGTTCAAAGTCGTGGAATCCAGTGGCCAGAACCTGTTTGAGGTTCTGGGGGTCGCAGGTCTGGACGACCTGGTAGGTCAGGCGATCCACGCTGTACGTCGAACCATACTGCTTGAATTTTTCTATGCAATCGAGAAGCCTCCGTCCGGACAGTCCGCGAATGACACGCTCGTGGATGAAGTCGAGCCCGATGAAAGGATCTTTGACCACGGCCTGCTTGTGGGAGGTCTCGCAGCCCCTGAGCTTCCCGAATTTGAGGCTTCGCCTGTATCGGTCGATACAGACCCCTAGAAGAGCAACGACCGCCCATAGCACCAGGAAGGGCCAGTTCAGCCTTGCCAAGAGTGATAACATGATCGAAGAGGTTCAGAGTGGTGGATAGAACAAAGATGTAAAGTGTGCGGTCTTCTCGAAACAGGAGGTGGGACAATGTCCACGGTGGGCACAACAGATTTATCAACCAGAGTCCGGCGCAGTCTTCAGCTTCGTCGATATGGGAATGGGCTATAGCATCTGCTGGCTATGTCTGGCCTTGGGTAAGACACGAGAGCCACCTGATGCCTCGCACTGGAATACTGCCAAGCTGTCTGGTATTCGCCGGTCCAAGTCACCCGTCAGATCCTGCTCTGACATGGCATATTGACACGCAGGTCAGGCATAGTCCACATCGGGCAGCCTCATCGTCTTCATTGGTAATCCACCAAATCTGAGGCGCAGGCGAGCCGGTCATAGCGGCTGTCGACCGTCATACGGCGAAGTACGTGTCGGTGTGGAGTGGTGAGGATATAACGGTGATGAAATACTGGCTGCAGAGGCGTAAATTTAGACCTGAAAAAAGCAAGAAGGCGAAAAGAACACGATCTTTCATGCAGGTCCCCAAAACGGGCTGCGGCTGAGCCCACCCAGATCGTATATCACCGATCTCTTAGGCATATATTGACACTAGGCTTGCGCACGATGAGGGATCAGAGGAGCGGTAAGTGTCTAAGGCGGGCGCGACTATTGTGAAGGATGGCTAACTCGGAGAGAGATGGTAGTCGTCTAATGTGTTGCCGTGCTGACTGTCATCTTGGCCGGAGCAAAAGGCGTAGGATCTCCTTCTTCCCGGGGTTGGGGGGGTCATGCATCGGCTATGCCAGATCTCGCACTTGACGATGGGCTGAACTGCCGGGAAGGTCCGATGAAGATGGGATATGCCTTCCATCAGAACGTGCCAGATGCACTGGGGATCTAGACTTGATGTTTGGGTAGGCACTTGCATTATGGAGACAGATCACACGTGTCTGGCAATGCAAGTGGGCAAGCATGGACGTTGCAGCCCGTGTCTTGCCCCTACCTTTCAGCCCCATGGCACCAGGTACAAAGCTACGTCAATGCTGCCATCCGGTAGATATCCAGCACACTGGTCATGTCTCACATGCCTGGCGCGTCGAGGCACAGGCTGAGTGAGAAGAAGAGCAAAGCCGAGCTGCGCTTGCGTCTCGGAATTATGGCAGGCACGGATTTTCTGAAGGATGGCATGTCTTGCAAAGCATGTGGGATTTGAAACCCACATGAATCATTCTATGGGGTGGTGCATAACGACCCATTCGATCTAGATCTTTGACTGATGACCCCGGCTGACCCGGGGATTTGGGTAGGGTATCCTAGAGACCCAAGGTTGTCTCCTGGCGGCAGGTTGGACTGCGAGATTGACTTTTGCCCCCTTGCTTTTGCCCTCTTTTATGCAACGGTGACGTCTTGGTTCGTGGTATTTATGCCCAATTAGACTCATGCGAACATGGGACATCTCAGCTGCCTTTGGGATACATATGATCGCTGGCTTGTGTGATATACGTAGTATCAGATCAAAACAATGTCGACGAACGAGTCCTCACCGCCACAATCTTGCGTGGTCCCAGCCCAGTGGCGTGGCACGGCGGGATGCCAGTGCCGTTGAAGGTAGGGCCGGCCCCTGCATCAGTCTAAACCTGATGGGCTCTGGGCTCGTGCGTCTAATGGATCTCGGGTCGCGATGCGGTGACGGTTCCTTGCTAAACGGCTACCCGAGCAGACGTAGATGCAGCTGTCCCAAGAGGGAGAGCGCGTGGCCATGGTGGTGCGTGTGGTGGTGACGCTCTCTGCAGCCAACGGTCGTGCCTGTGCAAGGTAGGAATCCAGATCCCACCATGATGCAGCCAGCCAGAATGTCCGTAGTCAAGTCTGACCCTCGTTCTGACACGACCTGACAGACGGCCACGTCGCATCAAACAGGATTCAGATTGCCCATTGTGAGAGCCCAGGCAATGCCGTGACACCACAGCTTTGCAAATTGGTTCGTCCGTCAACACGAGTATCACCAGGTCCAGCCCGGTGATTTGCATTGCTGGGCATGAAGACAGCGCTGGCCCCGCATGAATTTATCCCGGTGCTGCTAATGCGCCTCGTGGTGCAGCCCCTTTGGTGTTTCGCGGCTTGTTCCAGGTCCCTTTAGCCTTGGGACGAGCGCCCTGCCACACCCGAAAGGGGAAGCAAGCAACCGTCGAGTCGCTGGAATTGGGCAGAGAGACCTCTTGGGCAATGCCAGAGCAGGTGATGAATCGGGTGACAGGCTCCCTTGCTGCTGCCGGGCGGTGACTGGGTGCAGTCTTTGCTGTGACTCGCTGCTGCCGAACGGCCCAAGAACCCAACCGTCCAGCTACAATATCATCCAGATCCCGCGACAATCCAAGCTCAAGAAAGATATCCCATCTAGAGCATGGGATTGATTCATTCTTTGCACCCCTCAATCCTTAATTTGTTGCTGAGGACTGGTTCCCAGAATCGAGAAACAGACACACAAAGGCGACAGACTCGCTCACCTCCTCCAACCCTTTTTTATCCCCTCTCCCTTTAACTTGATACCGGAATGCCGTATCTGACGCAGCCCGGAACGCCTCCTCGGAAGAAGAGCGTCTTCAGAAAACTACGACGTGCGATTTCAAGGACCAAATCGAAGTCTCGAGGCACTCCGAATGCGTTGGGCTCCATTCCAAACCCAACCATCGCCTTGAGGGCCTGTCCCGATGTGGGCCTAAGCGAGCGGTTTGGCGTCGTCCCAACGGACATGGACCTTGGACTGTGGGACATTTTGACCGCCACTGCTGCCAGATATCCGAATAGAGAGGCCATCGTCTCTCTTTGGCAGCAGCCATACGATGATGGTTACGAGAGTGACTACCGAACTGAAGATGAGCATCGTTGTCTCAGGTGGTCATACCAGCAGCTCCTGGTCGAGTCCACCCGTATTGCAATATGCTTGAGGAAGTTGGGCTGTCGCCCCAACATGCGTTTGGCCGCCGTGGTTTGGAACAGTGCCGAATGGGGACTTTTCTTTTGGGTCGCCGCCAGCCTTGGCATGGTCTTCGCTCCCATCGACCCTCGTGTTCCAAGCGAGGCGCAGAGCATGCTACAGGTCTTGAAACCCGACGTCATTGTCGTGCAAGATGACAACGGCATAGCCATCATCGATGATCCGGAGCTCGATCAGCCATTCTCGTCCCTGTGTATCCGCATTTGCTGCTCCTATACCTCCCACCCAGACTGGATTAATCTTTGGGGCGAACGTAACATAGAGCAGCACGTGATGAACATTGAGATGTTCACCAATATTGAGACTGGCCATTTTGACAGCCAGCAGGACTGCCACCAGCCCAATCAGTTAGCCGTGGTGGTCTTCACCAGCGGGACGACAGGCAAGCCAAAGGGTTGTCCGCATACCAATCAGAGCATCATCTCCCAGACGGCCAAATACGACCCGAACCCTGATCCCTCCCTGGTTGACCGTTGGCTTGTACACACGCCGGTGTCGCACATATTTGCCATCAACAATGCGCTGCGGGCTTGGAGGTACGGAGGCGCCGCCATCTTCCCGTCCCAGACATTCAACGTTCAGGCGACGATAAGGGCCCTGCGAGACGAGAGAATCACCATCATGTCAGCAACTCCAACATTGGTCAAAATCTTGCTGGCAGACCCTGTGTTTCCGGACCCCTCAGAGCTCTGTCTCGAGGTTGTGAGCATTGCCGCAACAACCATCACACAGGACGACATTGACATGTGTCGCCAAGGCTTGGGCGCAAAAGACGCGATCCAGGCTTATGGGATGAGCGAAGGAGCACCAACTTTGAGCTGGGCCCGCAGCGACAAGCTCCTGGTTGATGGCTTTCATCCAGGCGTAGGTAAAGCCCTCCCTGGCGTGTGGGTAAGAATATGTGACCCTGCGACGAGGGAGGTTCTTCCCTATGGACAGCTCGGCGAGATTCATCTCAGTGGATACTCGGTCATCTCTAGCTATCTCGACGGAGCGGAGAGCGAATCTTTCTATCGAGATGGCTGCGGTACGTGGCTCATGACAGGCGATCAAGGCTGCATGGACAGCAATGGAGTTCTCTATGTTTGCGGGAGATACAAAGATATCATTATCCGGGGCGGAGAAAACATCAATCCCTTTGAAATTGAGTCTGCAATTGCGCAAATTCCAGGTGTTCAAGTAAGAAACCAATGCTCCCCTCGAGGTCACCGAGTTCATTCATACTGACGATATCGCAGGCTGCTGCCATTGGTGTTCCGGACAACATGGGCGGCGAAGTTCCCGTAGCTGTAGCAAGTCTCCCCGAAGGTGTGACGAAGTCCATGGTCAGCGATCGTGTCGCAATGCTCGACGCCAAGTACATGCTGGCAGGAGTCTATACTTTGCAGGACCTGGGTCTCGAGGCATTCCCAGTCACCTCGATGGGAAAGGTGAAGAAGAACGAGCTGAAGAAGGCCATCGAGAACGTCGGCCAAGCTCCGGCAGATGAGGTATTCCTTGGCACGTCAAAGCCCGACGCCTCGTATTCATTTTTTCATCATAATGAAATATTGAATAAGCTGGTAGATGCTTGGGAACAGGTTACTGGGACGAGGCCAAAAACCGATACGCAAATGACACATTTGGCTGACAGCATTTCCATGCTCCGGTATTGTGACGCCGTGTATAGATCGACGGGAAAGAGACTTTATCTCCAAGACGTTGTGACATGCGATACGGTCGACAAGCAAGCCGAATTGCTAGCGGCGCGAAGTGCCAATGCGAAAGCCGATGACGGCTCGCTTGTCCATCTACCGGCCCCGTTGCTTAAAACGAACCCTGGGAGCAACACTGTAGTCTTCCCATCTTCGTTCGGGCCAAAGACTCTAGCACCACTCCAAAGCAATCTTGTTTCCTCGTCTGCTTTCCCAGATCACAGATTGCTGAAGAACGCGCTGGAAATATTGGGGCTGAACGAATGCGTGGTCGAGGACATGATTCCAATCAAAGAGTCTCTCCATCGGACCGTCGTTGGCCAACGCCCTCAATCCTATCATGTTCGCATGGTTTTTCGGGCGACACACTCTGAGCCCCAGCATGTTCGTCAGAGTTTGGAAAAGTGCGTGGCACATAGACCGATAATGAGAACAATCCTATTTGACTCATATGGCTTCAAACCATGCCATGTCGTCATCGAGGCGGGCCGTGAGCTTCTTCACCACCTGATTCACGATGTGGAGGTCGAGACCGAGGCAGAGGCTCAGGAGAGATGGAGCGATGACTCCTATGAGGCTCATTCTTCCCACTTCATGTTCCAAGGCCATGTTATCAGTGTTCGGCAGAGCAATGTGGTGTTCCTGTCTGTTCTCTTCAGTCACTCCATCATAGATGCACTATCCCTCTGGCCCTTCCATCGAGACCTCGAGTATATCTTGAGTGACGCCAATGCCAAGTTGTCGCCGTCTACACCGTTCAGGCTCTTCTCTGATTTATTCAGCCAGTACGAGGACAGCGAGCCAGCCCGACAAGCCGTGCTGTTCCACACAGGGAAGCTGCGTGGCATCTCGCGGCTCCAGGACGCACTGTGGCCTCCTCAAAGGGCGCCAGGCTGGATGATCTCCAACGACGCCGGCTCGCATCGTGCACGTGAGCGTGCTCTTGTCAGAGCTCAAGTGTGGGAGGGCGACTGGGAGGCAAATGCGAAGTCGTTTCGGTACCCGCGACAGGCCCGGATTGTCTGCCTGCCCCATCTGGCTGAGCTGCAGCGAATGCACGGCATTCAGCCATCGTTGTTCGCCAAGGCAGCGTTGGTGTTGTTCAATACAAGGCAGACGGGGGCGTCACATGCAATCTTCAACACGTGGGAGAGTTGTCGGACGTGGCCATTTGTGCCGCAGTGGATGCAGGACATGCTTCCGCCGGCGATGAGCATCGATGGGCCGACGGCGTCGTGGCTTCTCCGGATGGCAGTGGTGTCTAAAAACGAGACCGTGCTAGATTTTCTTAAACGGTTTACCTCCGAATGCGACGAAGAGAGTCGATACGATCATGTGCCGTGGCAAAAGGTGATTGAGGAGTTGCGAGACGAAGGGGCGGTGGCCGACGCAGCCAGCTATCGACAATCGTTTGTCTGGGACGTGACACTCGGGCTCGGCTCGTCAAAGGAGTTCAGAAACGACTCGAGATTACTGGAGTTTGTCAGCCGATTGGACTGGGGCGATTGGTAAGTGGCACTCGCTTCTGCTGCTGTTCCTGCAGCTTTGTCTTATTCGTTTTCGTCTGTGTGATGACATTGATGCTAACTGGGACTCGGACAGCGGCTTCTTCTGGAACATGTTTATGATTGATAGTCAGAACCTGTACTTTGTCGCATCCTGGGACACGGCGCAGATGAACGACATCGAGGTCGAGGACTTTTGCGAGTGCATGGCTGATACGATGCGGAAGATTGCGAGGCCGGACAATTGGAACAAGACGGTCGGGCAGTTGTTTGGACCGTGATGAAATAGCAAGTTGTATTATCAATCAATGGATAAGGTAGCCCTTCTCGGGCAATCATATTTTTCCGGATTCCAAGCTGCAGCGAGCTCGGTTGGAAGTAATTGAATGCGCCTTGTGGGCTGCACCTGCCGTTTGGCAACAGCCGCAATGAGTGATGCATCACATTGGATCACGGTCGCATTGTCAGATACGACCTCACCATCTACCTATGTAGGTAGGTAACTATGCATTTATCTTACAGACCATGCCATATCTGTATTTCACTCGCACCATTGAGGTTTTTTCTTTTCCTTGCTCCCAAATCTACTCCAAAACAGCGTGCCTCGTGCCTCCGATCCGATGCAGACCGCTCGCGACCATCACCGTCCACAAACACTCGCCCCAGAAGAGCATCCACCCTACGCCCTGCGAACGAAGAAAAAATTTCAGATTATCTGCGATGACCTAGATCCCGCTTTTGCGATTTCACTTCCTCCCCATTTTGCGGACTCGAGGGCTAAGAGGGGCCATTGTGCGCCGCGAATTCCCGCCGTGCCCCTGCGATCCGCCCTTCGATCCGATGCCAACACAAACCGAATCACGCCCAACAACAAAAACACTTCACGAGAATCAATCAATTAACAAGCTCGCCAATGCTCTCTCCAAGTACGACCCTTTGATTGCTGCTTGGTCATCGCTACCAAGGATTTTATGCGGCCGTGTAGGCTTCATCTACTTCGTGCATCGCGACATAGGATGGTAGCTACATTGTCATGACTTCACTCTACCCTGGCTACTAAGGTTCATACAGCTCCTAAAGCTGTCTACAGATGCTTGCAAACTCGGCCTCAATATTGGAATCATTTATTCTCGATACTACTTTTAAAGAAATGGCATGCATTATGCCCTCCAACAACCAGCACCAGCCAAATTGCCAGTGATTTGACGAGGATCAATGTCAGTTTTAGTCAATAAGCCATTAAAAACAAACACTAAACAAAACGATTGACAACTCAAATCAAGGAGCAAGGGTCGTCGCAACCAATCTGTGACCCAAGGGACAAAGCATCCGGTCGTAAACCAAAGAAAAGGGGTGTACCAAAACGAGAGACGGAAAAATTGTGAACACAAAACAAGAAGCGGAAAGAACACGATTTTCAAGCTGGCCAGAGCGCAGCAGTAGTAGACCTATCTCTGGAGAACACTCCGGGATATCTCAGAGGTATCCACCTAGGAGTCCTCATCCATGCGCTCGCCCTCGGTCTTGGAGGCCGGCTCCTCATCTTCCTCCGCGTCCTCGTCTTCCTGCTGCTGAGCTTCTCTGCTTGCTCTGCGCTGTTCGAAGGCCTCATGCAGCAAGTCCCGGGCCTCTCTAATGGCCTGGTCCTGGGCAGCGAACGCTTGCGACGACTCGCCGCTGGCGGTTGCCCGGTTCGCACTTGCCAGGTTATGAGTGCATGTGCGGTTACGAGTGCATGTGCTCAGGTTCCCGCATCTTCCGCGGGGGTGGTTAAGGCCCCCGCGGCGGCCGATTGTGCGTGCCCCTGGACCCACGTTCAGTCTAAGAAGGCCCGTACGTCGTGGTCTGGAAGCCATCCTCGCCCGCTCTCGGTCCTTCCGGAGGGCATCGATCATGGGACCGTGCCAGAGTTGGCCACCCGGGCTTGCACAACCCGTGCCGGCGGTCACGGCAGCAGCGGAGCTCGCTGATTGCTGGAGTTCGCTGAGCACCCGGGCCGGATATTCGCCCGGTGGGTATGGGGTTCTGCCATTCACAATACGAGCCGTGGACGAAAAAGCCAGACAACTGGGTGGCGGCTGAGAAGCTGCGAAGTTGACTGTACGCCTGTGGCCCGGGCTGTTCAGCCTAGATGCCTGGTCCGCGAAGGAGGTCGCGGCAGGGGACACCGTGGGAAGTCGTGGGGTTGACGATGAGGTGTCATCCCGCACGGCTGACCGCTCGGCCGACTCCGTGGGAGCGCCAGCCGGGAAGCGAAAGGGGTTGGTCATGGTGGCGGGATTTCCGGGGTGTCCTGTGCGGAGGGCATCTCGCGGATTCTGTAACTATGACTGTTAGCCAGACGTCATCTTGAGGTTTCAAGATCATAGATCAAGATGAGGGAAGACTGACGGTACTGGTGCGATCGGCAAGAGAGGGAAATGGAACAAGTCGGACACGGGTGCCTGAGTGATCGACACGCGGTTCCTGGACCTCCTCGGGGAGCATGGCGGCCGGGGCTTGGCCCGGTGCAATTGCATCCTGAGAGACGTTGGTGTTATCTGGGAGCTCTTCGTAGTGGCTCTCGTCAATGGAGGAATTGGACTTGTCATCGTCCGCGAGGAAAGTATCATGAGTGTCCTCAGAGTCGTCACGGTTGAGGGGGGCAGTGTCATCAGTGCGGGAAGGCATGGTGAAAACTAGTGATCTTGTAAAAGATGATATAAATTGAGTCAATGATGTTTTGAAAGGTGAATTTACTTTGAGAAGTTGTAAACTGTGATGAAAAGAAGAGAATTGGGGGAGAGATCCGGGGGAAGCAAGGCATCAAATATATGGCCCGCCACTCACCTAGTAGGACTCATCTACAGGCAACGACGTACACGACACTCCGGATAATGACAGCATCAGAGAAGTTGATCAGTCTGGATAGCTGCAGCGTCGACCATGGTCGGAAAACCCAACAGCGAGACGACAAGGGGGGAGGTGTGGGTGGAAAGAGGTAGTGTCTCACTTGTTTACGCCACCCTTCACGGAGGTGAGCGCGAGGTACGTCTTCTAGCGGCAAGTCACATAAGGCGAGCCTTGTACTCTTCTATAACGAGGGGAGAAGGCAAAGGAAACCGGGGTAGGGTGAGTACGGCCCCGCCGCAGCCGTCACATGTCTTGTAGCTCAACATCTGAGCAAGTTGGACATATACCGTGTTGGATGAGCTGCATAACTTCGTCACAATCCCCGACATGGCCTAAATATGCCTAGGAGTAGTAGATATCACTCTCGCAAATGAGGAAAACTTCACGGGGAAGCGAGCATGGGTAGACCAGAAACCGAATGGGCGACAAAGCCACGGGGTAACAAGCTGTGGGCGGCGGCCTACGCTGACTGTTAGCTGGGTGAACCCTCTGCGGTGTGAGCTGGGGATGCCATTCGCACGCCATAGCTCATAGAACAAGTCATTTAGTTCCAAGCCTATTGTCGCCTTGCCAAGAGGATGGCGGATCCGGAGGGAGCGTGGAGATTGGTGGAGGTTGGGCTGAGCTGGGTTGTTGCAGCAGACGGGGGAAGTAGGTAGGTAGATTGAGGCTCGGTTTGACTAAGGCCTAGAACAAGCACTCGACTTAGCTCAAGTCTATGATCGCCGCAGCTGAAAATAAGCCGATAGGATACCTGCATGGGCGCCAAACTGATAGCAGAAGAACCCGCAGCCCAGTGTAGGGACCTTGATCCAGGACCGATGTTGTACATGTCGGTGTCAGCTCAGACGGACACAATTGGAGCTTCACAACCGTGGTGTCTGTCACTTAACAGACAATCTAAATTTCCGACGAAAGAAAAAGAAAAAAAAAGAGAGAAGAAGAAAATTGACCGCAATGGCCCCTGGTGAACCGCCCTATCTACTCCGTAGAAGTCAAAGTCAGGGCCGTTAACAGCGAGTTCGTAGTTCCCTAGGCACCTAGTGGCCGCTGGTCGATGAGGTCACTGTGATGAAGCTGCGCTGCATCTGGAGTTCTAGACCTTCGTTCAGTCCTTGGATGTACTGCACTGTTACCAGCATCTTCCATGCACTGGCTGTTCTACGCAGGAGCAGGGGATGGGCCTCAGACCGTCCAGTGCGATTGAGGGGGGAAGCACGCAGACCGTCTGCCTGAAGTTCCAGCGTCAGCCAATCAGCCCTTCTTTTCTCAAACAATACCTGCAGTCTGCCGTCGTCGCTTTTTCTCGCCATCACCAAATCTGATCCTCGCACGCCGAGTGCATCGGTCCTCTCAATTTTCCCCTCGTGTCGGTTGCGAAAATGTCTCCCCTACTCCGGTCCGTCTTCTATCATCTGCAGATTGCCGCCCGCTCGAGTCCTGGATGAGGGGCGTGGTGCGAAAGATTGAGCGGACACCTCATTCTACACGCCTCACCTCCTGCAACCGCGCTGCTGCAGCAAAGACGCCACTGTTGCCTCCCAGCCGTAGCGATACAAGCAGACGGGAAAAGAACTCCATCCCTCCTCTCATTCATGTCGAGCGACGGCCTGAGCGAGCGACGGGCTGCCTCAAAACCGGAAATTGCATGGCCGATCGCAGCAATCTGCACTTCTGCCCGACTTTCTATTTGCTGCCGCCAAGTTTTCGACTGCAGTTGCGCAGTGACAACAACACGCTTCTGCATGGCGGCTGGCGGTAGTTTTTCTTTGTCAAGGTCAAACAGGCTTTCAGTATTGAAGTCTTGGTGCACATCTTGGGCTTGAAATGTAGGTCTTCTTGATCTACGGTCGAAGCAGCCCAGTACCTATGTCCATATCTTCAAGATCGCTTGGCTAACACTGAGATGGCTCGGCTTAGATCACTTTAGCACATCCAGGTTCCTGGATCGACTAAACTCTTTTTCCACCTCGTTACCCTCCCTCTCCCACGGGCCCAGAATCTGGCTTATCTCTACTCTGTCACATTTGCCGTATTGCAGACTGCTCGAAGTCGACTCGGACGAGACCCTCCTTGCTCTCACCGGCTCAGCTCCACTCAGACGACGATAGCCACAACTCCACGAATCAGCCTCTTTGCGAGATCGCATGCAGCGTGCCGTGCCCCCAAAACAGAATGGCCGTCATCATTTCGGCGTCTTGCATCAGGACTGCATTCGCAAGCATCTCATTGCTTTTTCTTACATGTCTTAAATATGTCACCCACTCCACCCGCTAAAAGTCTACATTGCAAGATGTAGAGGCCATGTCCTGTGACATTTCATCGACTTCCCCGTGGCAAGGACCGCCATCCAAGAATCAAGTCAACCGTTTGTCATGTTCACCATGCTTGTCTTTGCTTGATGTCCCCCAGCGATGGGTCTCTGGCCAGCCATGATATTGCTTTTGCCGCCCAGTTTTCAGCTCGCAAGCGACCTACGCAAGGCAACCGGCTGCCTTGATTTCGAATGCCCACTCTACAGCCATTGGTCTACTCTGCTACTGCAAGGTTTACACTGGCATTGCATTTGCCAAGATACGATGATCCAACAAAGTCGGTCATCGGTTTGTGCTGCAATTCGTCAAGGGCCTTATCCGCTTGCTGTAGCATGGTCATGACCCATTCTCACATTCGTTCCAGCCCCAACTTGATCTCATCTCCCATGCTACGCTCCTCCAGCAGGCATCTCCTGCATACCATTTTTGCTTTTCACTTCGGTGGCACAGAGTAGGAAAACACATTGTTTCCGAGCCGATTTCTTCCTTGGTTGGGCAAGATGGGGTGCTGTTTCATGGGTTGCCCAAGCTCAATGACACTGCCCACATATAGTAGAATGAGCGGCCAATCTGGCTTCAAGTATTTTGTATACACATCATCCCCAGCTTTAGCGAATCACAAATGCAGGGCGGCCAAGAGTGTAACGTCAGATCATCCGCTCGCTCTCAGCGATTTGCCCCGGTAGATAGCGCCGGGCCGTATCTCACTGCCTCCCATACAGAGTCGATTTTGATGCATGCAATCTGATAACTGGTTTGCGATCCATAGGCATCTGGGGAAATGACTAGCATGTAGACCTTGCTTTGCTTTAACCCATTAAATCACTGCCGGCAGCGATCGTTCAGGGCATACTCGGTCTTTACCTAGAAGGAGACCAATGCTACACCACCCACTGCGTAGTATGCGGGTGCGGTCCACAGGTTCGAGACTTCCCGGATCGCCAACTGTAGAAGAGCCATCAAGCACTTGTGCGTGTTCTCCTCTCTCTCTCTCTGCTTCTCTGTCGCTCTCTTTCTCTCTGGAACCTGAGACAGGTGAATGACCCGGCTCTGCCAAGGGGGGTTACATCGGTCGAGTGGGATTTTCTTTTTTCATCTATGAACTCGGACCATAGCTTGATGAGCCATGAAGGAATGTGTCGTACGGATTGTCGTCCTGCATATTGGGATTTGTATAGCTGCCTGGTCTTCCCTGGCCAGGTTTCGGCTGGCGACTGAGATCGCGGGGCCACACACCCAAAGGAACGCACCCGAAATCATGCATCACACTCACCCCCGGCACTCCGCCTACCACCTTTCTTTTCCTTCCGTCTCGTCTTTCTTTTTTTTGCTTTTTCTTGTCCTACGGCCAGTAATCAGCCCGAAGGAACGCTGCGGTGCTCCCATGTGGTTGCCAGCTCATACAGTCCTTCACACAGTCCCTCCCTGCACATATTGCTCAGCATGGATTCATCTGCACCGTGAAACCCGAACTGCCCAATTATTTCCGCCACCATTTTGTACCAGACATCTATCGTAGAAGGGTACATGTAGTCTAGCAATTGGGTGTTTACCTCGCCCATGTCCGCGGCTACTTTCTGCGTTGCAGGTGGGTGGATGTATTGGGGTGGATGAGCTGTGCAGTTGGGCTCTTCCATGCTTGTCCTTCTGCCACCGAGTATTGGAGGAAGATATGGGCTCCGATAGTAGGCATGCTACACGACCTGCCGACATAATACATCGTATATCGGCAGTACCTAGCAGTAAACGTGGGTACATGTAACCACTGAGTGGCATGCATAGCACTGCAGACCGGCCAGCGCCCTCGCCTCTGGATGTTCCCTCGCTGGCTGCCTTTGTGACACACAGCGTCGTGCTGACCTTTTGAATGCAAGACTGGTCCGCATCTTGCACACCACATGCAACTGTGACCAGCATCCGTTATCCAGACCCCCGCCAGCGTTCAGCTAAGCCTTGCTCTTGCATGGGCTGTCTCAAAGCTGCGAAATGGTGGTCGTCTTCGCGGTGAGGTGGGTAGCAGTTGCCGCCGCCGACTGTGCCCAACTGCCACCTCAACTCAGCGGCCGGCCATGCAGCAAGAATACCTACCTACCTTACCTTAAATGCCACATCCTCACCAATCTCGCCTTTCTTTCCTTTCCAACTTCCTTCATTCCATCACCTCTACTTTTTGACCCTTCAATCACACCATTCTAGCGCAAGCTTCTCAACCACTTCCCACTTCCAAACTCTCTCATTTCGGCTTCACCCAATATCAATCCTCCATCATCCTCTACTGTTGCCTTCGCAAACTCACCGCCCACAATGGTCTCTTCCAGAATGATCACTTACGAGACCGGCGAACTCAACTTTACAGTCGGAAACCAACAACATCCCTTGAAAGTGTACCCAGTCAAGGTTGATTATGACGAAGACTGCGTCATCATCTCTGGGCACACTGCCTTCGCCCACCCTGAGCTCGACTTTCCACCAATGCTTCAAATCATCGTCCGAGACCCTCGTTACGCCGGCGACCTTCGCAAGCAGCTGGGCCTGAAGCCATGGACAGTTGAAACTGAGCAGCGCTTGCTTGCATACATGGCGGCCGACGGGTACAACGAGGACATCAACCTCTGGTCTAAGGAACCGAGTTTGCTCTTCGAACACCTCAATCGGGGTCCGCTTCAGCATAGAGAGGCCTGCTTCCGGGCACTGCTGATCATGCTTCAAACCAAGGACGCCCGGGCCTACGATCATGCCTACAGCAGCGTCCAGGGGCTCGACGAGCCTGCCCGGTCGTGCTTCTCAAAGTACCTGGGCACCGTCAGCCTCGACATATCCACCAGCGTCTACGGACAGCCCCTCATGGTCTATGGCACCGTCACAGAGTTCGTTCCAGGTTTCGGCGCCGATGAGCTTTGCGAGCATATCCCACGCCACCTTTGGCATCGCACCATCTCGTCCATCATCAGCACCGTACACACGGTTGTCACCAATGCCACCAGACTGCGCCATGACAGGCTGCAACCCAAGCACTTCACCATGTCCTATAGCTACAACAAGGGCGGGGTTGGATCACGCATCGTGCTCACGAACCTCAATGGCTTCCTCTGGCACGGCAGCAACCATGATCCAAGCTACAACATGCTCATCGACCTGGCTAAGGCTCAGGGAAATGTCTTTGACCAGCTTCTTCAGCAAGTTGACGACAAGGGAGTCGTTCTCGAGGATGCCGACCTCATTGTCTGGGGCACAGGCACCTGAGGATCACCTAGCCATCACCGATGAGGTCTGAGAATCGTCCTTTTTCTCATCAGTCTCATAGTTTGACCAGGCTCTCTCCCCTGTCCGGAGCAAGCTGCTTGCCAACATCTCTCGGTCATTAACTACTATTTCTCTTCATTTCTCTTCTGTCCCTGGCTTGTTTCCCCTTTCCTCTTGCCTTTTCCCCTCCCTCCTCTTGCCTAATGGACGCCACAGAGCCCTCGAGATGGAAGGCTTTGTCCCTCACGAGTTCAAAACCATCCAAGTTGTTCGCCTTTTCCTTCCTTGTTCTCGCTTTGCTTCCTCTTTGTCCTCTTTCTTCAAGGCTGGATCTTAGTTTGGCCATGGCCTACAGCAGGCTTACCCTCTTTAATACTGAGCTACAGGCTCTCACCTGTGTGCCCTTTTAATGACTGATGATATCTTCTTCCCTTGGTACGTTTCACAAAACAAATACAAGCAAAAAAAAAAACTGGATTGGAGGCATGGGATTTTCTGCTCGGCCGTTACGGCTCCCTCGGACTCAGTTTTAGTGTAGCTCTCTGCAATGAAAATGATTTCTACCTGTTGCCTTCTAAAAATCCAATAAGAAAAAACTCCAATGCGCACTGCCGTACAGCGTCGACCTATTCAACGTGATCTTCTTCCACTTTCACTTTCTTCCTTGATGAGGCATCCACCTCAGGTCTTCTGTACTTCTCCGCTGGGTGAGGAACCTCCTCCCCCTCCTCGTCCCGCCCTCGCTTCAGACCCTTTGTACTGGCAGGATTCGCCTTCCCGTCTACAGGCGCAGGGCCACCAAATATGTGTCTACCACCAAATCTACTACTAACACCACCAAATACGCTACCACCACCTCCAAATACACTATGACCACCACCAAACATACTGCCACCACCGGGTCGTATTCCTATCGTAGTCCCAGTACTCATAGGCCGGGGAGTCTCGCCATCATCCTCATCCCGCCTTCGATCCCGACCGTCTTCGCTCGCAGGATTCGCCTTTATATCCACGGGCCTGGAGCAACCAAATCCACCAAACAGGCCACCACTACCGCCACCAAACATACGTTGACCACTACCGCCGCCAAACATGCTACCACTACCGCCACCAAGCATGCGACCACTACCGGGTCGGGTTTCTATCGTGGTCCCTGTAGTCACAGTCCCAGTAGTCACGGTCCGGGGGGTCTCCCCCTCATCCTCATCCGGTCTTCGGTTTTGGCCATCTTGGCTCGCGGGATTCGCCTTCATATCCAAGGGCGCAGGGCCAACAAATATGCTACCACCACCGTCTCGGTTTTCTATCATAGTCCCTGCAGTCACGGTCCCAGTGGTCACGATCGGGGGGTTCTCGCCGTCATCCTGATCCCGTCTTCGGTTCTGGCCATCTTGGCTCACAGGATTAGCCTTGGTGTCCGCAGCCGCCAGGCCTACAGATCCGGCATCAGCACCCTCTCGAGCTTGGGGCATGGTCTTGATGATCCTCCTGTGCTTCATAGTCTGGGGAGCCTCGTCCTCGTCCTCGTCCCGCCCTCGCTTGTGGCCACGTTGGCTAGTAACGTTCATCTCGACGTCCATGGGCGCCGAATCGCGCGATGTGACCTCAGCACCAAGGTCGATCCGCGCCATCGTGTCGTTGACCTTGCATATTTCCTTGTCTTCGCTGCGCGCTACCTCCATACAGTCGGGCTGTGCGGGGACATGGATCTCCCCGGAACGGCGAGCTGCGACGTCCGCGCACAGCCGTCCTCGAATCTCGTCCGCCATCTTGCGCACCAGGGCCAAAGCCCGAAGACCCCGCTCAAAGCTCTTCTTGTCTATAGTCAGGTTATGAGATATCCTCCTGTAAGAATCCGCGGCGCAGAGTCTAGAACTCGGAAGGGGGAACAACAAAATATCGATGCCGCGTCTCGTAACTTCGACAACGAACGCGCCTAGATTGTCGTGGCAGGGAAGTTTCTTTTCCACCAACTGGGTCATGTTTTCTGCGAAGTCCACGAACTTTAAGGCATTGGCGACGATCTCCTGCCGTTCCTCGACACCCTCATCGTAATCCTCCAGGACCGAGATAAAACAGTTGGGGGGTACGTATCCATCGTATAGCTCATATTTCGGGTCTTCTGGATCTAGGCCCAGTTTCGGGAGTGGAATAATGGTCGTGATGTGGCAAGGTGGTCGGCGATCAAAGGCGTACTTCGCTAATATCCTGAGGCTGTCTGAGCGGTTCCTCCAGCTAGAGACCTTAAACGTGCGGAACTCTTCATCCCCGATCCTCGGCTCAACACCCCTCAGCACGGTGTCGCTAAGGTAAGGGCTAACGCATTTAGAAAATAGTCTGCGCTCAGGAAAGCTGAATAACCTCTCTTGGAGCGGCATCCAATCGTAAGGTGCAACATCATAGGTAGATGGATCACTGACACTTGCAGCTACCGAGTCCCGGAACTCCGCCGCCGCCATGCGTAGTTTGGTCACAGTACGGATGCCCCTCTCAAAATCCTGCTTATTTGATATCATATTGATATCGGCATAGATTGCCTGACTGGACCCACGCCTATTGAGGCAAAAGGGGGTATAATGTCTGACTACACGCAAAACTCCTCGATGGAGGGTGGCGGTAAACAATGCGATGTTTGGGACGCATATAGGCGTGCTCTCTCGCAACAAGAGCTTCCCCTTCATCGTAACGGCTCCAACGCAGGACTCATCATCAACGCGTGTGTAGTCATCACAATGTTTCTGGTGGTATCCAATAAATGGTAGGCCGTTTCTCGAAAGCTCAATGTCGAAGACAGACAAGTCGTGACGCTCATGCAAGTACAGCGTATCATTAGGTCCGTAGGGATACCAATGCTGGTGATCAAACCAGCCCTTGGTGGTGCGCTGTGTACCACCTACAGGAGAGAGCTTCTGCTCGCAGTCTGCTGGGTGGGCATAGCATAGCTGCTCCATCAACATGTCCTGGCATGACGGTTTCTTGAAGCTATCCACCAATAGCTCGTAGTCGCCTTCCTGGTATGCGCCTCTATAGGGGTGGCCTTTCTCGTGCTCGCCTTTCAGCAAGAGGCCTTCTCGGCCATACGGTTTCTTGAGGCCATCCACAAATCTCAGGAAGTCACGGTCTTCGACTTGGTAGTTGCTGGTTTCGGGTTCATCTTTAAAGATGGGGGGTACGCTCTTGGACCGTACTAAAAAGCAGTACTTTACAACGTCCGTAAACGCTTCAGCTCTCTTTGTTGTTATTTCCATTTGTTCCTGTTGAGCGAATGGTTATGGTAATTTTTCTGAACATGCTGAGGAAACAGAACGGGGCCGAGGTCTTTAAGAACTCGGGTTTGCGAACTACCTAGTCAAGGTATCAGCCACAGGCTCATACACCGATTTAGCTCTTCCAAAAGAAACCCTTACTTTATAACCTCTAAAGCATTGACAGTGACAATGCGGACAAGACAAAAAGCTGCAAGGCCAGATGACCGCCTTTGCCTTGTTCTTGCTTCCATTAATAATATGTCTAAAGCCTTGTTCATCGTGTGGTCATTGCATGACCTCGGCTTCCAGCTTTGTATTGGCCACTAAGATGCCGTCTTGGAACAAAAGATCCAATGCCTCATTGTCACAGCATATAACTGTGCTTCCAAATCTACCCCAAGGCTGTATCAACCGCTTCAGTCCAGACCAGAGCCCTCCCAGGGTGCTTGCTAATGAGTACATGAAAGGCGCCCGTGGGGTTACCTGAGCAGAAGAGGTCGCTGACATGTACTCAGAAAACCAATGCCAGCCCGGCGTGCATGCGCGACAACTGATCGTAGGGTTCGTACGTCGCTAGTAGATAGTTATATGCTTGAGCTCTAGAGACTAGCAGTAGAGGGTCGTGAAGGGGTCTGTGTTGATCTATCAAGCGCCATCTTTCAAGTCCTCAACCCTATCCTAGATTTACCCGCCATGTTAACCACACAGCAGGCTTAACGACACATCAGACTCGTCGCTGTACGAGTCCGAGCAGAGTTATTGGCTGCAGCCTACAATGCTTCGGCATCCAGTCGAGCCAGCAACGACAAACGGTCCTCACAACCACATAGGTAGAGAGTCACATCCTTGGAATATGATTCTGCCACATGCTTGCCATCGGCCAATGACGCTGCCAGAACAGGTTGCTCCCAAGCCGCACACGCTCCAGAAGCATGTGCGGGCCTTAGATCAGGTATGTTTAGAAGGATGTGCGATGCCCCATGTCTAAACCCCATGTAGATTCGATTGCGTCGCTCGGTAATAATCTTACACGAAAGGACATGCTTTCGAGTTCCAGCATCCATGTATGTGCGCTCGAGGGCATCTACCTGTTTATTGAAGCGACTCGTATAGGGTAGCGTTATCGAGCGTTGTAGTTCAGAGCAGCCAAGGATAGTTGATAGGTCTTCATCAACCCCCTTTTCAAAGAAGGGCCTTAGGAAATCAACTCGTTCATTACGTCGTGGATACCTCGATGACCGTGCTTCAAAGCTTCGTTAACAGCGCCGCGGGTCGAGCTGACAAGCTTAGCTGTGTATAGTATATCTTCGGGCGAGATGGAACTTCGAGGCATCGCTGATTGGGTTCGTTGGGTGGCTCTGGGGAACGACGTTATTTCCAAGCTCAGGACGTGCTTCAACTTGCTCCTCCATCACATGGAGCCAGCAAAGATGCGTCCGAGCCAATACTAGCATTGATCATGTGGGTAATGTCGAGCATTTTTGTTTGTTGTCGTCGATGTATTCAAATTTGTAGACAATGTCGGCGCTCGAAAAGGGGTTCTTTGTGGGGGAATGGGACAACGAGGGACTATTGTTCCCGTCTCGCTGGTGTACGGACAACTCGAGGTAGGTGGGTAGTCGTAACTTCGTAAGCAGGGGAACGGGCTAACATCGCCGTGGGTGTGTAAGTTGTCGTTCGTTAATGTACCTAAGGAGGTAGATAATAAGAGCATATGTTCGATCGCACACTTTGGGAGATGGCCAATTGTTAAGTGTTCACCAATATCTGAACCAATTGGTCTGGTATCGGGCCGTAGCGTGGGGGTAGGTACAAACCAGACATGCGCAAATGTTACGGCAATGAGTCTCTCTGTCAGTCGTGCTTCCTTACAAAATGTTGAGCACCTTCCTCGCCGCCATTAATCAATTGCTGGACTCGCGACGCGTTTCAACCCACAGCATGACATCATTGATGCCTGAAAAATTAGGACACAATATCCGAGCTTCACCCGTTCTAATTGGTGGATCAACACGCGTCCAACGCGCTGCTCGTCGAGGACCTCAGGACTACGGCGATTGATTTAACTTTAGATTCGACTTAACCTTAATTGTATGCCATCTATAGAGCTATTCCGCGAATCTGGGCCAACCCATGCGCCTAGCAAGACCCGGGCAGCATGGTGACAGCCATCCGTAGAGCAGCCCCTCGCCAACGTGTGGCGATCGTTCGAATGTACAGATGCTAAGTTCTTCACGAAATGTGCTGGGGGACCTACAGCTGCGCGGTCGTCGCCAGCCCGGCGGGAAAGCTAGTACCCCGCCATCCATAATATAAAGTTCGTGAACCATGTGGTCGACCGTATACGAGTGTACTTCGTGCATCGCAAGCATCCTCGGGCGAGTTTGTTTCGTCGTAGGTCGGGATTTGGGTCGATGCAGCCCGTCGCTTCGCAAGAGTGTCGCAGTGGACGTCAGTATCGTCAATTGGAACCAGGTTAATCGCGCGGGCAAAGCGAGCGAAGTAGAAGACCTGCGACGATTGGCGCAAATGATTAGCTAGAGTTATCATGAAATGCAAAGGGCTGGTACCTTGTCCAATGCAAACTAAAGTAGAGGCGTGTGCTGCCCTCCAGCTTCGGGCCTCAGCCAGACCGAGGACCAATATACAACGGGCCGAAGTTCCCGCACAAAGCAGTGTCATGTCAACATTTTCGGCCGTTTCTTCCTCTAATAAATGTTGAACAGCTCATGGCCGCCGCTATCTGCGGCTCGAAGGATGGGATTGGCTCGAGAGTCAGCGCAGAGGCTATCGTAAAAACGTTCACGGGGAGTACTCGAAGGTGTGGTAATTTGTCCAGTATCTCGGGAGCAATGGGCGGCTGGGTTCTGTAGATTGGCTCAGCCGGTGTGTCCGGGGATGAAATAGGTGTCCATAGGGCATCGGCTTTCCGTCGTTACTATGAGCATGACGGGCGGTTCGTTCATCATTGTTGCAGTAGATAGGTAGGCGACAAGACTGGTGTTGCAAAGCATCAGCATCAAGACGAGCTTCCGATAAGCCAACTTACAAAAAGGCACGGGGCATGTGCCTTAGTCATTCAATGGCGGCAGAGTGCATCCTAACTCCAGTCCACTGTGCAGCACTTCCAGCGATATCCTACAGCGGTCGAGGCCCTGTAGTTAGCCCCTACCATTCAGGTCACTGCACCGATGGATTACGCTTCACTGCGGCTAACATTATTGGGATGATTTGGGCGCTTGAAACTTTCTGCAAAGGATTAATAAATATTTTTTTCTTTTGTCCATTGCCGTGTATCGGCAATATAACCCAAGCTCTTGGTTCCAAGCGTGGACGGCAGCCCAAAATCAGGGACTTCGGCCGCGACGGCCCTGACCTAAGAGCCGATGCTACTTCACTTACATAAAGTATTCTCAGCGCGAATTCGCTTTCAAAAAGGGAGTCCTCTATGCTACCTGAGGTCTTCTATGTAAGTCCTATGAGCTTCATCTCTCCCAATTCATCATAAAGGGCCCTGAATGGCACAGCGCCTTTACGTTTCGCTCGCTAGTTACACCAATATCTCGAAGGAGAGGATTGTGGCCCGAAGAAAGGTTTTACGGTATGCTTGATTGGGGGAGAATATCGATATTACTAACAAGTTTCTTTAAAGCATAGTAGTCATAGACAAGTAATAAACATGATGCCGAGGAGGATCACAGTTGAATCGAATGGTCAGGACTCAGGGGCTACTTGAATCAAACAAACTCTACACCATTTAATCAGGGAAAACTGGTTCAGGAACACTATTTCCGTCACTTGAGCTCAATGGTTTGGATCTACCTTGCTCTGTCAATAAATCATTCAAAATCCTGGCGCTCACGGTCCCAGACGTATTGCGTCAAGTTGTATCTGTCAGTCCCCGAGATACTCTTAAACTTACTTTGGCCCTTTCTTAATGTAAGTTTAATAACTTTGAACATCCTAGATCTCTTTCTCCGCTGTCTAAATCAAGACATTAGATCTTGAAGATCACCGAAATGATGGTCAAAGATGCACATCAAGATATGCAGCACGCGACTCTAGCGGTGAAGCCAAACAGCTTATACGAAGGCTCTGCGATAACTCGAAGAAAAAGCATCGAAAACATTGTGCTCTGGTTGTTTATTATATAGGTGTCTCGGGTTACGATGTGCGCGGCTGGTTCAATGAGATACTGGTCCTTGGTAATGTCACAGCTTCGTATAAATACGGGTTGGATTCGTACAAATGAATGCGACTTGCCCACTGGTCGCTGGTCCGAGTCCCCTTCTAATCTTTCTCTCTCTTTTCGGTGCATCGTAATGTTTTTCCAAGTTGTGGTAGGTACAGCAAAGGGCAGCCTAGCGGTGGCAGCCGTCGACGTTGTGCCTCAGGCATGACAACTCTGGCGACCTCTCTCTCTTCGAAACATGCCGAAGGCCGTGCAGGGAGCTCCAATAGCTTCTTGCCCTGAAATCTTGGTACGCTGCGATAAGAATCTACCGCATCAGTCTCTGCTCTCGCTGACACCCCCAAACCAGTGGCCCTCTCCTAGCGTTCACATGGTTGTCTCAAACCAGCTTTCAGACAACGCAAGCAGGTAAGTATTCGGAAGTTCCCAGGCGGACCTGTTGTGTTTTGGCGCGTTATACTCAGTTTTCAGACCTTCTTCGCCTCTTCAATGAAAGCTGCTGCCTCAGTGGCCGCGTCGTAAACTTGCAACGCCAACTAATCGAAAGCAAGTCCGTCCTATCACAGCCAGCTTCGTAAATCGACCTGGATGTATCGCTAGTCTCCTTAGACATATGTCCTTGGTGGTCGGCCCTTTGGTTTTCCCTGGGTGTCATTGAATTGCTAGACCTGCTGCACTCTGGTAACTCGATTATGGGCTCAGGGGCCTTGGAACATCTCGCATACCTCACATCACTGCCACTTCCCAACACAGCACCAGTGGCTTGAGCACATGCTGTGCCCGTTTCCATGTAACGAACACCAACCGA